CCTCCCTCCCTCGCTCCCACAACGGCGACAGTCCGTCTCAGGGATCAGGAGAGATTGATATCTTGTGAAAGAAAGCGAGAGGCATGCACCAGGTTGAAAAGCTTGCTCCAGGTTTGGGCGAGTACCATGTCTGGAAAGACGGTGAAGCTCTCGATGCACCGTGACGACAGCCTGCTTTACTTACGCCATCAAGCAACCAGAGCTGCAGAGGATGTGTTGCGGTGTTTCGGGTCCTTGTTCACTTGTAGTCTAGAGTAGCTCGCGGCGGGGGTTGCACTTTTGACATCCTTTGATATTGTCGGTTGTCACAGGTAATGCCACCAAAATCCTACGACCTGTTACTTTCAGCAAGGGCAATGAAGCTTTCAATCCACATCCGACAGTCAATGAGAAGCCCAAGTTCTGCACAGTTGGATGTCGTTCACGAGCGTTCCCAGAGAGCCCAATACCCCTNNCCTTAATTAAGGAAGAGACCTTAAATCATAATGTTAAGGCCCCTATAATTTAAGGTATAGTCCTTAATTAAGGAGTATTGGGCGCTCTGGGTTCCCAAGCCTCCTCCAAGGTGAGCCAGAGCCTGGGGCTGTCGACGTGGCAGCTCCGTTTGCTGCTCGACGGCGAGATCATGGACAAGAGAGGACACTCTATATATATATATATATATACAACCTGAGGAGCTTGTAGAGGCTTGAAACGTACAGTTGTGTTCGTTGTTTCCTGCCTTGGTCAGGGGCTGATTACTACCGAGCGGTGTTCGCGATCGAAAACAGGAGCCATACGGCCTCCAATTCCCCTTTCCGATGAGCGCAGGACGCCTCGAGGAGATAGCGCCCACAGAGGGTGACGAGTTGCAAGTCCTGACGGTGACAGCGCCCAAGCTATTTCACACGTGTGGGGAGACGGAACAGTTTGCACTTATATTGTGCAAACGATGCCACTGTCTTCTTCAGAGGGAAGTGGTCCGTGACCTCGTGTCATTATGTTTCTGGTTGAGATCTCGTCCTTCCCTTGTTTCTCTGCATGAAGCTGTTTCAGCATAGTCAGGTTTGTAGACACTACAGCTTGCTTGCGGTGAGACATAGTGAGACTGCAACATGAGGTGCCGCTCCCCTCCGAGGTGGCGTCTCGAAGTTGCCGTCTGTGGGCCCTGCTTCGGAACAGGATCACACCAGACGTGCTGTACCGAAGTTCGTTGACGAAGCCTGAAGTGAAAGAGCGCATCTTGCTAGGGGAAGTGGACTTCTTCTACAACGGGGACAACTTGCTGGAGTTGGCTGCACGTAGCCTCCCTCGGAGCGTTGCCAAGGAGATCGGGTGTCTGCTCTTGGATGGAGGCTCGGACGTGAACGGCAAGTCCTCAGACGGCTTCACGCCCCTTCAGACTGCCTGCTGCCGTGGATTGGTCGGACTGTCAGAGCTTCTCCTGCAGCGTGGAGCGAACAGATTCAGAGCATCGCCAGCAGGAGAGGATGCGCTTGACTGTGCGCTCGGCTTCCTTGCGGCGTGCGATCGTTTCGGCTCCCAGGAGCGTGAGGAGGACGTGGACCTCGCAAAGCTGTGCTGCCGCCTTCGGAACAGCCGCATCGAGCGTGCCCGCTCCTCTGGCGAGCTCCCATCCTCCCTGGCGAAGGCCCGGCTGTGTCTGTCCAGGGTGGCGACACAGCTCGCACTCCTGGGAGGCAAGTTCGTGAAACTTAGCCAGAAAGAGGTCTTTGAAAGGAGTGGCCTAAGCCAGGCCTCGGTTCAGAGCTTCGAGAAGCAGCTCTGGGCAGGCTGGCCCGGTGCCTTCCTCACCTTTGACACTCGGATCTCCGAGGTACCAAAGATCCAGGAATCCTTCGCCCATGCGCGGTCACGTGTGCTTGCTTACCGTCTCAGCCAAAATAAGCCTGCAACCTACACCTACCACAGTTTTAGAGGCAAGAGGCGGTTCCTCTGGGTGTGGGAATCAGAGTATCTTTGCTCCGATTGGGACTATGAAGACCGTGAACAGGGCGAGTGCTGGCTGACAATTGGCGATTACAGGCAGAGGAAGGAGCAGAGCTCTGGCCTAATCCGATCCAAGCGCTAACTGTAACTGTCAGAGTCGTTCTATTAAGCCTTTTAGGCTTCAGGTTTAGGGTTTAGGGATATTGCAGGTCTAGTTAGCAATAAGACAGATCTGGGCCTCCCGTTTTCGCTCAATAATTAGAATAGGGTTTTGGGCTCCTTTATAGTATGATTATAACAAGGAACCCCCAAGAAAGTATTGGTAATTATTATTTAGGCCCCTACATTAAAAATCAACCATCAGAGTCAATTTCCGTTGCTGTCATACACACATCTGCGGGAACCGAATCCACGATGAGATCTAAGGAACTGCAAGTGCGAGGCTGCGAAGGCATGGGCTTGCGAGCATAATGTAGGAGCCTTAATAATTAGAATTGGGTTTGGGGATACTATACTATAATTATAATAAGGAACGCCCCCCAAAAAACCCTATTCAAACTATTAAGGCCTGTACATTCATTGCGACTCCCTGCCTGCCCAGTGATCACGAGCCAGGGTATCGACTAGATGGTGAGGATGAGGCTGATGTTGACCACTTGGAGGTTCATGGGTAGTTATAAGTTGGGTTATAAGCCCCATAACATGGGCTAGAACTATAGTTACCTGACTTACAACCCAACTTATAACTGCCCATGAGCCTCCAAGCATAGTCCAAAAATGCCATAGCTCGTGATGTTGGTGACGATGCCGATACTGATAATGAGCAGGAAGAGCTGAGAGAATCATCATCGTCATCATCGTCACCGCCGTCATCAGACCTTCGCCACCATAATCCTCACCGTCAGCTCATGCATCACCATCATTACCGTTCGCAACAACACTAATAATGCCAAGTTGCTTTTCGTTGCCAGCCACTATCATCACCTTCAGCTTCATGTTCACCATGTTCGTTCAGCAAGTTTCAGCAACATCATCACCGCCATCACTGTCATCATCACAGTCGCCGCAACAAAACCCACAGCCAGGCACAACAAGGGTCTGCGGATGCTGGCGGTCAGTACAGACCTGTAGCCCTGAATCCAACCCGATTCTGCTTAGGGGTTCCAGGATGTCCAGGATGTCTTGTGGGGTTCCTTTAAAGGTTCATTCAAAGGGCTCTATAGTAGGGTTTAGGAAGTTTAGGGTTTAGGGGTTTCATGGGTAGTTATAAGTTGGATTATATGTAAGGTAACTTTAGCTATAACCCGTATCATGGGTCTTATAACCCAACTTATAACCACCCATGAACCTGCAAGTAAGGGTAGTTTTCCATGTTTCATTAACGCCCCCTCTTCACAACACCAAGCGACCGTCCAGACGTGGCTTTTTCCGGTCGCGGCTGAGTCAGCAACAGCTGCAGCATGACCGACAGCACAAGATCGCAGACTACATTCATGGCGGCAACCACAACATCGAGAACACCAACCGTAATAGCCAGTCAGCAACCGCAAAAGAAGCAGCGAAACGACGGCAATCTCACCTATGCGAATCATGGGTTAAGCTATAGACAAGAACAAGGGCAATGCCAGCATCATTCCTAGTCTCCGTGAGGGAATGATCGACGAAAGAGTCATACGCAGAAGATATGACAACAAGCAGAACCAGATCACGAAGAGCAGTATACTTGGAGGTTCATGGGTAGTTTTCAGTTGGGTTATAAGTCAGGTAACTATAGTTATAGTCCATATTATGGGGCTTATAACCCAACTTATAACTACCCATGAACCTCCAAGTACCCTCTGCAGTGCTGCAAGGCGAACACCCGAAGCTGCCGCCGTGTGGCATTCGAGCCAAGCCGTCGCTACGACTCACGCTCTACACGCTTGGCGCGGCGAATGCCACGCAGGTCCGGGGCACTGTCTGGTTTGCAGATATAGATACGTATATATATATATATATATAAGTATATAATTATATATATATATATACACACATCGTATACAGTACATATTACACAACACATAGTGCATAATCCAACTAATGTAATACAATACAAGCTATAAGTACACAGGCATTCAGGCAGGCTTCGGAGTTCGGATTGTGGTGCTTTGGCTACACGAGCTCCTTCGAGCCTTCCGAAAGAAACCAAGAAGGATCCCACCTTTGAGAACAATAAGTTAGGTGGCTTCCTCAAAACATTGTCCTTTCGGTTTTGTAGACCGGGCTCGCAAACCCCAAAGCGTTCCAAACGGACATTATATGATCATGGCGCTCATCTCGGCTGTCATCATGGTTACAGTAGTCGAAATCATCATCAGCATCGACTCTGTTTTGGTGTGGCGAGCAAGCAAGTCGCACGAATCTCAACTAGATGTTGTCCTGGCCATAGCCACGAACATTGATTCGTGAGGGACGTCCAGATGGTGCGGCGCAAGGAGCGACTTCGCAGTGGGCGGGAGAATCTTTCGAAGTTCCAGCTGGTCAGAGATCAGATCTGGCAGTAGACATTGGTAGTTTAGTTATCATGTTCCGGCGACATGGGGCGATCCCAAGAGGCCCGTCGCAGTCTAACATGACCCATCACCAAAGCAGAAATGGAGAGCACACTTCGAAGAATCCCCATTTCCAAAGTTGTCGCTTTTCGTGCGGACACGGTTCATAACCAGCGGGATCCCCGCAACAGGGAATGTCTTCAAATACTGTAGTGTAAGTACTAGGCTGAAGGACACCTCAGCATGGCGAGGGCAGAGCCATGGCGCCGGCATCTGCAGACTGACGCTGTCAGTGCTTGCTCGTGGAGGACGACGAACAATTCGTTCAATCGGTTAGCATCTCTACCACTAGTAGTAGTAGTAGTAGTAGTAGTAGTAGCAGTGGTAGTAGTCAGGATTGTAGGAGGAGGAGGAGTAGGAGCAGGAGAAACAGTAGTAGGAGTAGTGAAAGTGGTAGAGGTAGCGGCAGCGGCAGCGGTGGTACTGGTGGTGGTGGTAGTAGTAGTAGTAGTAGTAGTAGTAGTAGTGGTGGTAGTAGTAGTAGTAGTAGTCGACGCCGACGTCGTAGTAGTGGTGTCGCCGTAGTAGAATGGCAGTTGAAGTAGAAGTTGAAGTAGAAGCTTAAGTAGAAGTAGAAGTAGGAGTGTTGGTGATGGTGGTGGTGGCGGCGGTGGTGGTGGCGGCGGCAGTGGTGGTGGTGGTAGTACGGTGGATGGTACAAATCCTGAATGACCCGTCTAGCAGCTGTCTTAGCGAAGATCCCTACGGCGTCTACCGTCACCCCGATTTCAATGTTGAAAAGGCCTTCGGGTCGTGCAAGATTTTTACTACTCACCTGTCGCGTTTTGGGTTCATTTGAGCTCAATATGTTAAAATCCGGGTGCTGGTGCTGGTGCTGGTGATGGTGGTGTGATAGTAGTGTGATAGTAGTGTGATAGTAGTAGTAGTAGTAGTCGTCGTCGTGGTCGTAGTCGTAGTCGTAGTCGTAGTCGTAGCCGTAGGAGCAGTAGCAAGAGCAGCAGCAGCAGTTGAAGCTGCTGGTATTGATTTTGCTGTGGTTGCGGTTGCCGT